TAAAGCAGTCTGGCTTCTCTTCACAGGTGTCTTATTGAATGCCGAGATGAGTACAAGTACAATGTGGAAGCGGTTGAACTTCTGATAAGAAACCATCTCGTGAATATGCAGCAGTATGACCTGCATCTGGCCCAGGTATCATCTTGGACCTAATTTTAATTTTATTTATTGTTTATCACAAAACATTGACACATCCTTTTTTTTTCAGTCAATGGAGAATGGAATGCACTACATGGCAGTTGCTTTTGCAATGCAGTTGGTGAAGCTGCTGCTGGTGGATGAACGTAGTGTGAGCCATGTCACAGAGGCAGACCTCTTCCACACCATCGAGACTTTAATGCGGATTTGTGCACACTCACGGGCCAATGCACCTGAGGGGTAAAGGGCTACTTTGTTTTTGTTAAGTTGATGTCTTAATCAAATTAGAATGAAAACAGACATATTTTACATAATGTTTATCACTGGTTTGACTTTGTTCCAATAAGACGAAAAGTGAAGAAGAAAAAAAGTCTATTTAAATGAGCTTCATGAGTTTTCCTTTTTTTTTTTCCTTCCCCCTCAGACTTCCACAGCTGATGGATGTCGTTCGATCCAACTATGAGGCAATGATTGATCGAGCCCATGGTGGACCAAACTTCATGATGCACTCTGGCATTTCCCAGGCTTCCGAATACGATGATCCCCCCGGCCTGAGGGAAAAGGCGGAGTACCTTTTGAGAGAGTGGGTCAATTTGTACCACTCAGCTGCTGCTGGCCGGGACAGTACCAAAGCCTTTTCTGCGTTTGTTGGCCAGGTACTCATCTCTATTAAAATTTTTATTATTTTTTTTCATGTAACATTTTGAATAAGTATTTGCTTGTTTACAGATGCACCAGCAGGGTATCCTGAAGACTGATGACTTGATCACAAGGTTCTTCCGACTGTGTACAGAAATGTGTGTTGAGATAAGCTACCGGGCACAGGCTGAACAGCAGCACAACCCAGCAGCCAGTGCAGCAATCATCAGAGCGAAGTGCTACCATAACCTGGATGCCTTTGTGCGGCTCATAGCCCTTCTGGTCAAACACTCTGGAGAGGCAACAAACACTGTAACAAAAATCAACCTCCTCAACAAGGTGTGAAAATGGCATCACATTCATCATCAAAAGAAAAAGGAGACGTGTAATAAATTTGAGCACTTGTGTTTCCAGGTGCTTGGAATTGTAGTTGGAGTGTTGATCCAGGACCACGATGTGCGTCAGACTGAATTCCAGCAGCTGCCATACCACCGTATTTTCATCATGCTGCTGTTGGAGCTCAATGCTCCAGAACATGTGTTGGAGACCATCAACTTTCAAACACTGACTGCCTTCTGGTTTGTATTCCTTTGGTCTCAGCTACTGTGGTGCTATGAACACTATCGAAGAAATGTCACAGAAATATTACATTGTGCTTTGCAGCAATACTTTCCACATCTTGAGGCCCACCAAAGCTCCAGGGTTTGTGTATGCCTGGCTGGAACTCATCTCCCATCGCATCTTCATTGCACGGATGCTAGCACATACACCCCAGCAGAAGGTATGTCCACACAGTGAAAGAAGTGCAAATCCTCAGTAGAATCTTTTACTATTTGCTTTGTTTGTTATGTTGAAGGGTTGGCCTATGTATGCACAGCTGCTGATTGATCTCTTCAAGTACTTGGCCCCATTCCTGAGAAATGTTGAGCTCAACAAACCTATGCAAATCCTGTACAAGGTGTGTGTGCGGCTGTTTCAGGATTCATGAATAAAGTCCGCAGCCTTGTATAATGAAATAATACTGCACTAGTTGCATTCATTGCTGTTGTCTAAGTCTTGTTGTACTATTGTCTCATTTAGGGCACCCTGCGAGTCCTTCTGGTCCTGCTGCATGACTTCCCAGAGTTTCTGTGCGACTACCATTATGGCTTCTGTGATGTCATCCCACCAAACTGCATTCAACTTCGCAACCTCATACTCAGTGCCTTTCCACGCAACATGAGGCTCCCTGACCCTTTCACACCCAATCTCAAGGTTATACACAATCTTTAGGTCAGCCATTTTTTATTTAATTAAAAATATAAAGTAAATTGTACTTTTCTGTGGCAGGTGGACATGCTGAGTGAGATCAACATTGCTCCTCGAATCCTTACCAACTTCACAGGTGTCATGCCCTCCCAATTCAAGAAGGATTTGGATTCGTATTTGAAAACGCGCTCACCAGTCACTTTCTTGTCTGAGTTGCGCAGCAACCTGCAGGTTTGTTGAGTTCTCAAGGTTTTTACATTTAGTCATTTGGAGATTTAATTTAAGTGACCGTGGTGTTTGGGCTTTGGTTCACCCCCCCAGCCCGGGGGTGGGCAATTATTTTTTTCACGGTGCTACATGAGAAACTGAAAATATTGTGGAGGGCCGGGCCAAAATGCTTAACTCAGTTCTCCATAGTATTAATTTCATGTCTTTTTATAAAAAGCAGTCAATAGCATTTGATGAGCTCTTGAGACTGGTAAGAGTTAGTATTATGAAGAAGCAATTCAAAATTAAGTTTGCCTTACAAATAAATGTATGTCATAAAAAATAACACCTCTAAAATAAAAGCAATGCAGCTTTAGTCATGCATGCATGCATGAGGTAAAATTATGTTTGACCGGCCTGTTTAAGTGAATTTCGAATTACAAAACAGAGTCAACCAAAGGGCCTGGGAGCTGTACAATGCCCAGGTCTGCTTCAGCCGTTTTCTGGGTGCGGGTCAGTAGGCGATACATTTCCTTGCAGGGTTAATGTGTTATGCCCTTCTTTGTTTTCCAGGTGTCCAATGAGCCAGGAAACCGCTACAACATCCAGCTGATCAACGCACTGGTGTTGTATGTGGGCACACAAGCGATTGCTCACATCCACAACAAGGGCAGCACTCCCTCTATGAGCACCATCACTCACTCGGCACACATGGACATCTTTCAGAACCTGGCTGTGGACCTGGACACAGAGGGTGAGATGGAATTCTTTGCATAATCCAAACACATCCAAATTTAACTTAGAATTGTTTATATTTTAGTAGTGAAACAATACCCATTTATTTAAAAAATGTTTCTTTGTTGCAGGCCGCTACTTGTTCCTGAATGCAATTGCAAACCAGCTGCGCTACCCCAACAGCCACACTCACTATTTCAGCTGCACCATGCTTTACCTCTTTGCTGAAGCCAACACCGAAGCAATTCAGGAGCAAATTACCAGGTGGGAAATGCTTCTTACATTGTCTGTGTAGAAAGGGCATTTGTTGATTATTGTGCAACTTGAATAATGTTGTCCTTTTCCTAGGGTCCTGCTGGAGAGGCTGATTGTGAACAGACCCCATCCGTGGGGCCTCCTCATTACCTTCATTGAACTGATCAAGAACCCTGCCTTCAAGTTCTGGAGCCATGACTTTGTACACTGTGCCCCTGAGATTGAAAAGTATGTGCTTGCACCACACAGTAGTCTTACACACAGTAGAGGTGGTAATTTATTTCAGAGAATTCATAACATGTGGTTTCCTTGGTCTTTCAGGCTGTTCCAGTCTGTGGCCCAGTGCTGCATGGGACAGAAGCAGGCTCAGCAGGTGATGGAGGGTACTGGTGCCAGCTAGCCTGCGCCCCAGCCCGACTGTAGCCCTTGGGAGAGATGCAGCAGCCTTTACCTATTCCCTACCACACACATACACACCTCCCTCTTCACTGTTGGCATTGGATAAACTGTCATTCAAACAGGGATGAGAGGACTACTGCGTGCCGATCTGAAGTATTTTTTTTTTCTTGTGTATTTTGGGGCTGCTTGACATGGAGCAAATTTGGACATGGTGTTTAATATACTTTTGATGCTTTGATGTAAATATTGGAAAAAGGGAGAACAGGAGAGTAGATATGTGGAGACCATTAACCATGTCAACTACATTGATCCTGACATTCACTACCAAAGCCCTTGGTTTGCTCCCCTCCCACAAAGATCTTTTCTGACTTTTTGTTTGCTTTCAGAGGCTGAGCGGTTGTTTGAAGTTTAAAAAGCTGCCTGCTACTTTTATTTAAATCCTTTTTATCCCTGAGTGAGACAGGAAGATGTGCTAGTCTCCTAAGGGGGTGGGGACTATTCCAGGTGTGTCATGTGTGGGTGAGAAGCATTTACTGCTGGGGATAGCCTTTGAAAATGGCTCCAACAGTCTCTCCCTGGCATTGTAAAATTGTGCAAAAGTGAAAATGGTGGCATCGTATCTTGACAATTTGTACAAATATCCAAATTGAAGAACAATAGGACCAATACAGCCCATTTTGTAACATTTTGAATGTTTTGTAAATGTATTGGTCCATGTGTTGTATTTTGTAGTCCTTTCTAGTTTGCCTTTAGTTCTTGCTACTTAATTGCAGTATGCATACATACAGGAAATAAAGCAATCAAACTGCATTGTGTTTACATTACATCTTGTGACTGGAGGTACAAGTGCAATCCAATACATTATAAGATACATTTTTGTTGTTCTTGCATTAGTTTGAATCAAGAAATTAAACTCTAATTAGTTATACCAGGCTGGGTTTTTACATTTTATAATTTTAAACTCATGACTTGCTCTTGATTAAAAAATTTTTTGAAAAAGTATAATGTGGGGAATGTCGAACTTCTAAGATCCTGGCATCAAAGTCAAACTCGTGTGTAATCTGAACTTTTAATGCCTTGTGTGGGAGACTGAACTAGTGTATATGGCAGCTTTTCATGTTTTTCTAATTATTGCTTTATTTGTTGGGATATGACTAGATATAACTTGACCAAATTCCAAACGTAAATACAGGGACAATTTGCATGCAACAGACAATGCAATTATTTTTCTGTAATTTTACAGTATAGTTGCTAGGTAAAGGTTAACCAGGAAGGGAAATTCTAAACATCTGAACTAGCTGCTTTGGGTCCAGAGCACAAACTTCATTACTTTACAAAGGTCTGACTCTGGTCAACAGTGAACCTCCCAGAGTTCAAATGTGTGACTGTTTTGCTCAAATGCCATCTGCTATGCTTCTGGGTACAATCTATGGGTATTCTCCAGACAAGGATGGGGAAACCTCTGGGCTGGTTGTTTTGGAAGGTCCAAAATTAGTTTTTATAGTCAGTCAAAACAAAAGCAGTTGTTACGGTACCCAGGTGTTTACATTATTCTACCCCTTGATATTTTGTTTTTTGATTTCTTAAAAGTCAGAAATGGTTCCATTCAAAAATGTGAATGAAAAATTTGTATAAAATTGCAGCATATAATGTCTAAAGAAAACTGTACTGCATTTTTTAAGAAAGACATTTTATTGTTGTTTCAGTGGCTAGCACAAAACTAACTATAGAACAAGTAGGTTCATTAAGATTTTTGATAAATTATCTTAATTTGTAAGTTCTAAGAGTTTATACAGAATGCTCTTCTGTCCATATCGCACATGTAAAGCCCTCTGCTGCCTGCTACTCAACTTGGCAAGGGCTTCTTTGTCCTCAATCAACATCCTATCAGGGTCATCTTTTCTCTCCACCACCTCATTGCTGTCTGTGTAACAGCTTAATGTCAGTCTGGCCGCATCATGAATAAGCTTTTTCCATATGATCTTTAACTTGGGTAATCCCTCATTAGAGAAAACCAAGGCAGTATCATCATCGTCGTCATCATCTTCTTCCCATCCTTCATTTTCTTTGAAATCCAAGAACTCCTCCTGTGACATACAAAACACCTGACAACAAACCTTAAGTTAGGGTTTTTCTAGTATACTGACTAGAGCCCGACCGATATATCGGCTGGCCGATATTATCGGCCAATATGGGCACCTGGAGACATATCGGCTATCGGCCGATATGCTTGCTGATTTGGGCCGATATTTCACGTGGGCATGTTATACCTCGTTATAAAGCTTAGACTCTCTACATTATGTTCATTTAATCCAATTTACAGACAGATAAATGTCCTAATATGTGGCTCTGCATCAGTATTTATCTGCGGTGTAATTTGTCTGTGTCCGTACTGTCCCTGAACACACCACCAGAGTGACGTCACTTCACTCGCGTGTGTTTGTTTACACCCGCAGTGGTGCGCAACACTGAGATTATTTTCTTTTTCGGACAATCGGTTTGAGTCTGGATTAAAAGGACATTTATTAGTGCAGACTTGTGATGTGAGGAGGAGCCTGTGTGAGCGCTGAGTGTTGGAAATACATCGACTTTGAAGCTAGTTTAGGTTTTGTTAGCGGTTAGCTGCTGTAGCTCCCGCACATAAACAGGCTGTTTTCTATTGGTCTGTTGTAAAGTGACTAAATTGGCCGTATATTTGTTACTGGACCTGCATTGATATGTAAATGAGCTGTGAATAGACGTGTGAATGATCCACATTTATGCATATAATTAACTACCGCGGTGCGCAGCATTTACGGCTAAAGGCTAATAGCGATAGTTTACTAGCTAGGAGTTAAGGGTCGGTCGCGATCGAAGCGGCTCTTAAGCGGCTCTTTGAAGCGAACAACGGGAGCCTGCTTCTTATCGGGAGCCGTGTTTTCTCTTTTTCTCACTTTTTCTCTTCATGCCGCATGTAGACCCGTAGTTTGACAGCAGCAGCGGCTGAAAACGAAACTTTCAGAAATCTGCGTGTGCATAGGATAAAAAAAAGTGCATATTTGGCTGTAGTTCAGCATAAAATGAATAAACCAGGACTAATCTTGGGCTCGAGTGAAGGAGAGAGATAGAAACCGAGTCCCGACTCTCAGTCCTGGTTCAGTTCTGGTTTAGTTCTGCTTGCAACAAAACAATCTCAAGAGTCGCTTGGGAGCCGAAAGAGCCAGCTGCTTTAGTGAGCCGAGCCAAAAGAGCCGGTTCTCCAAAAAAAAAAAAAAAAAAAACTGGAATACCCATCACTAGTAGCTAGAATGTGATGCAAAAATGCCATTAGGCCAATCTACTGTATGTAAATATGATGTAAAGAGTCAAAATAACAATAAATGTTGCCTAAATAAACCCAATTTAGAATCCACGATCCAATTTTAATCAATTCAAGATTTACAGTGAATTTTTACATCACTAAATATATCGGTGATTATATCGGCTATCGGCAGCTTCAAACTCCCATTATATCGGTTTCATATCGGCCACAACAAAATCCATATCGGTCGGGCTCTATTACTGACTATATGAAAGAAATCATCTCTTTTCTCACCTTCAAAACAGTATTAAGAGCGGTGTCTGTGAGACATCCCTGGTTTCCAAAAATGATTGCATTATTCCCTTCCATTTGATTCAGCAATCTCCACTTGTCATCCAAATGAGACAACTCAAAATCAGTTTTAATATCTGAAATGACAAAATAACACTATAAGTAACAGTGTATTTAAATCACGAGGAGGACCATGACATTGGCTTTTCTTTCTAGTTTCACCTTTTGCAGCTGTGTAGAAGCTCCTCACAGTGATGTCCACTGTGTCATTGCTGTTGCTTGGAAAAGGCTCTGTGAATCCATACATGTGCAGTAGCTGCCAGTTTGCCATCTGGCCATATGTGTTAAAAACCTCTTCACCTTTACAAATTGGCCGTATACTTACCATCTTTAAACTCTCCTGAAAAGCAGAAGTGTGCAACAAAGCAGACTCAGCAAATAGATAACCAAGATTGTAAGGATACAGAGGGTTTTTCTTACTGTGGTGAATTCCAGATTAGCATTGTGATTTGCTATGTGGTTTAGCATATCGGCCATGGGAACCATCATTGGGGGATTTGGTGCTTTATCTTCTTCTTCATTATCATCATCATCATCATCTTCATCGGGTTCTTGGAAACTACAATGAACAAGTGGAGAGGCACAAACAAGTTTATAAAAGAAAGTTTGATTATATAAATGTGTGTATACTGTATGTGTCTAACCTGTATGCCATGACAAATGCTACTAGTTTTGTGTAAAGATCCAGAGTGTGTATGTCAGGGCTCCAGTATTCAGAATATTTGGTGATCAATGGGAGAACAATATCTGAATATTCTTTATGAATTTTCTCTAAGTCTGTGTTCACAGCTTCAGGAATTCCTGTTCCCTTTAAGAGTGTATCCCTCTCTTCTTTAGACCTGTCGAAAGCAAAGAAATGTATCAGAAAACAGGGCTGAATAAAACAGACATTTTTTTGCCTTTTTTAAAAATTAAAAACATATGCATTTTTATAATCATCATAATCCAAATGCTTGTCTGTCTGGTCATGATTTGATGTAAATCCAATTCAAGTGCACAGCCTCATTCATTTTTTTGAAAACTGAAATACCAAAACATGGGATGGTCCAGTTTTCCAAAGTCATTCCACAGAGAAAGGTATGGCCTCCAGAGTGACTGTGGTGATGTATACTCGTGCAGCAAAGCCAGGAGCAGACGGACCCAGCCTGAGGAACTGTCCAATGTACTCTTTTCTGAAATTAAAAAAGAAAGAAGAAGAAGACTGTTGCCACAATTGCCTCAAGTTGTAACTACCTTTGTCTAGCACACCAGAGACCTTTGATGACTCCTGATGAAGAATAGCTTTTCTGGGTACAGTAAACAGCACCTCTCCCTCATCAATATCTTCTTTGGCCAACATCCCATACTCTGCCACAGTGCCTTCAAGACTTACACAAACCTGAGGAAATTACACAGACTGACTCAAAGTTTTCAAATGTATATATGCTGTCTGTGAATTTTACAGATTCACAGCAGAAATTAACTTTACCTTCTCACTTAGCTCCAGACCTATTTGTCCACACCACTGGAGAAATATATTCAGACTCTCTTGTCGCTCTTCAACAATCTGCCAATTGGAAAACAAAATATTTAGTAGTACCAAGCAAAATCATAAAAGCATAAACACAATCTAACAGCAATCATGTCATAATAATCATTAGAAGTAGGATAAAGAAAAAAGAAGCAAAAACACAAAGCATATGCGAAACCTGTTTTACTGACCAGCAATGTACAAATATATCAGTATTGCCATGTTATACCATATATACAGTCCATAGATATATCTATGTACACAGTCTATGTGTTATACACGTGCAGCTAACATCCGCATCTACAGCATGGATGCACATGGATATACCATTAGACAATTCCTCCCTCATTAAACAAGCCTGCAGATAAAACTCAAGAAGTACCTTCGCTCGTTTCGGCTCTGTGGCCATTGTGTAATTTAAATACTAAAATGTGGCAGCACGGATGAGCTGTAGTACTACACTTTGTAATACTTTTTCTTCTGTGGCGGGTTAGTCTTTTTAAGGCTGCCCTCTAGCGAGGCACAGTGGGCCTACAGGTCATTATACATTTACTAATAAGATATTTAAGTTCTTATACTTCATGCATTTATTACCAGTGAAACCAGATAAGATGCACGTTCATTATTGGGATGTGTGTTTGTTTAAAAAAAAAAAAAAAAATCCTAATAATAACCACGCAAACGTGGACCTTATTTGGTTACCTTAATAGTAAATGCATAGATATAATAGTAATAGTAATTCAGATTGATCAGCTCACGCTTTTTATGTAAAGTATTATTATGTAAAAAATGAAGAGCATGCAGCAGAGCTGTGTTGGTGTCTTTTATTTTGAAATATTTTGCGGAAATAGCAGCGGAAAACGTAATAAGGCTAATGGGTCGCTAACTTGTCTAAAGCGTCGTGAAATCATCTTGTTTTTTTCAAAGGTGGAGTATTTGGGAGAATACATTTTATAGGGACAGATTGTTTTAATTTACCGAACCGTAAAATATGCAGTTTCTTCTTTGCAGTCTCCGAATATATCTTTATCCTAGCATACGCGTTGCCTTAGCTGTTCACATCAATTACATAGCTCACGTATGTTTTACTTTATTTTTCATAATAGACAAGTCATTTTGTTTGTTTAGCAAAGGGCAATGTAGATAAATTAGTGACGTGTTTTGTTTTTTTGTTTTTTTAGATTTATTTTATAAATCCGCTGTAAACTACGGTGAGATTAGCCTGGTGAAGAGCCTTAGCTTGCGCTTCATGTTGCTAGGCAACAACAGTCTCGTGAGCGTCTAATGTAAAGCCTGTAATTACATTAGTTCATTATTTTAAACTCTTTAGATGAGAACAAACTAGTTGACATACCATTACTCTGTGTAAATATGTTGTCATATCGAATGTTCTGCCTAGTTGAATATTGCATTTGGCTGACAGTAGCAAGGATGCGCGTTTCTGTGGCTTTATTATGAAAAAGATTTTTTTTTTTTTTTTTTGTGAGACTGTTCTGTTTGTGTCCCTGTTTGTAACTCTTACAGAATATTTAGACCTTAAACATGCTGGTCCCCATCTTTACACTGAAACTCAACCATAAGATAAACCCTCGGATGGTGACAATTGGTAAATTTGATGGAGTGCACCCATGTCTCACAGCAGCAACACAAGCAGGGAAGGTAAACCCAGTATTATTACATATAATACATATGTTATTTCAGTTGGACTTTATTCAGCACAATGATGTTTGCTTTGAAGGTTTTTATCCACAACCCCCATGCGCGTGGACAGAGATCAGCAGGACACCGCCTGAGCCAAAGCAACCAGGATTCGGATGTGTCTCTCCTCAACATCAACCAAGCAGTTACCTGTTTGACAGCTGGTGCTTTAGGCCCAAACACTACTGGGGACACACTGTTAGTGGGCTCTCAAACCAATCTGCTGGCCTATGATGTTCATGATAACGCTGATGTTTTCTACAGAGAGGTAAGCATCAAGAAACGGCCAGTAATGACTGAAGCCAAACATTGTATGATCATTGTGTTTTTCGTGTGTGGCATAACAAAGGTGACAGATGGTGCTAATGCCATTGTCCTGGGCAAACTTGGAGACATCCCTTCACCTCTCGCCATCATTGGAGGAAACTGTGCTCTGCAAGGTTTTGACTTTGAAGGGAATGACCACTTCTGGACAGTGAGAAAAATACTTGCTTGGCATATGTTATATATAGTACTACTTTGTTTTGTGTGTGTGTGTGTGTGTGTTTCTTTTATTTAAGGACCACTTTGTCTACATTTATAAATTGTTTTTGTCCTAGGTGACTGGAGATAATGTCAGATCACTGGTTCTCTGTGACTTTACTGGAGATGGGAAAAATGAGGCAAGTTTTGTGTTTTAGTTCTTGTTGCTCTGTTATAAATATGCTGATCCTAAATGTAATGTTAACATTTGTGTTACCCCCGTAGCTCTTAGTAGGATCTGAAGACTTTGATATAAGAGTTTTTAAAGAGGATGAACTTGTGGCTGAGATGACTGAAAATGAGGTAAATTATTATCATTGACTGCTTTATAAGGAAAATATCTGATTAAGTGACATGTATCTCTGTTTTTAGACTGTAACATCACTGTGTCATATGCACGACAGTCGATTTGGCTATGCTCTGGCAAATGGTACTGTGGGTGTTTACGATCGCAATTCAAGATACTGGAGGATTAAGGCAAACAAAATTATTATTTTCTTCATTAATAATAAGACACCTTTCCTGGCATTAAGTATGGCAATAAATTGACTAAAGAATGTACAACTACTAGTATAAGGTAGTATAGAGATTTTTATTGAGAATAATTATTGCTCAGTCAAAAATAAAAGACACCACCAGATTTAACCAAGCAAATGGAGAGGAGTCTACTGTTGTATTACAGATATTCATGCATGTGCAAAGAGAACGAGCTACAGTCTTTAGTTACTCTGTTGCCTCACTGCCAGCCAGTACACTTTGGTATGAATAATGTGGAGCTTTAGCCAGTTTCATTAACTGATCTTTCTGTCTTTAGTCCAAGAATCATGCTATGAGCATTCACGCTTTTGATCTTAATGCTGATGGAGTAGTTGAGCTCATAACTGGCTGGTCAAACGGAAAGGTCAGTTTATTTACCAAACAATATGTCTCCTCAGTAGCTGCCATCTGTTGGAATTGAATGTTAAAGGTTTTTTGTTTGTGCAGATTGATGCACGGAGTGACAGAACGGGTGAGGTCATTTTTAAAGACAACTTCTCCTCTTCTGTGGCCGGGGTGGTGGAGGGAGACTACAGGCTGGATGGGCAGAAACAGCTCATCTGTACCTCTGTAGAAGGAGAAGGTACTCTGTGTGGATTGTATAACTCTGCAGATACTTTTACAGCCTTCACTGTATGAATGAATTTTTTTGTACTTTGACAATGTGTTATAGTTCGAGGTTACCTCCCTGCAAGTAAAGAACAAAAAGGAAACCTTATGGACTCTAGTGCTGAGCAGGACCTCATTAGAGAGCTCAGCCAACGGAGACAGAATCTCCTTCTTGAACTTCGCAATTATGAAGAAAACGCTAAGGTAGTTTTGCTTAATTACATTATTCAACTTCTATACTCATGATTTTATGTTCTTCTAAGACTAAATTATATACATCTTAAATTATATATGGTATTATTGTTGTAGGGTGTGTCAGAAGCAAACAGTGGCGTGGGTGTGATTCCAGCCAACACTCAACTTCAGACTGCTCTTTCAGTGCGACCAGCCACAGAGGCTCAGAGGGCCCACATAGAGCTCAACATTTCCACACCAAATGGTGACCCTCAGCGATACTGAAAAAGCTCTAATCTATAATTCATCTTCAGCATATTTGTTTCTCTTTGTTTGTAGAAACAATCATTCGTGCAGTGCTAATTTTTGCTGAGGGGATTTTTGAGGGAGAAAGTCACGTGGTTCACCCCAGTGCTCAAAACCTGTCAGGCTGTATACGAGTTCCTATTGTCCCTCCAAAGGATATACCTGTGGATCTTCATATTAAAGCTTTTGTTGGGGGAAAAACAAGGCAGGATTATGCATTGAACTTATATTAATTTGAATATGATTTTATGATGATGTTTTTGTTCTGAGTCTCCATGTCTTTCTCTGTTCTCACAGTACCCAGTTCCATGTGTTTGAAATCACTCGTCAGCTGCCTCGCTTCTCCATGTATGATCTGACTGACAAGCCCACAGCTGCCCCTCCCTCTGGATGGGTCAGCTTTAGCATAAATGACAGGCCACAAAGGGTCTGTGTCAAGCCTCACTTATGTTCAAAAGTCGTTAAGCAGAAAATTTATTGTTTTTTCTCTTGGTGCAGATTGTGATGTGGCTGAACCAGAACTTCTTGCTTCCAGAGGGAATCGACAGTCCAGATGTAACTTTTCATTCTCTGAGGACTGGGGGAGTGTTGTCTATCAGCAAGGCCAGCAACGGACAGGTAATGAGTTTCATTTACAAGTAAGTTAAGTGCAAGTTTAGTTTTTTACTTAAGCATCAGTTAAATATAAAAGCAATTTGCTTTTATATTATAATATAATATATTATAATATTTATTAAGATTATTTAATTTATTTTCAGATAATTTTCAAAACTGATGACATTGACCTGGCAGGGGATCTTGTCCAGTCATTGGCATCATTCTTAGGGATAGAGGACCTATCAGCAGAAGCAGACTTCCCTGGATACTTTGAGGAGCTCCGCACCACACTCTCTGAGGTGAAATGTAGTTTGTTTGTGAAACTAATGTTGACCCCCCACAACAGTTAATAAAAAAAATATATTTTTGAAAATATATTTTTGTCAGGTGGATGAGTTCCACTCAGTCCATCAGAAGTTAACTGCAGATATGGCTGACCACTCTAACTATATCAGGACTATGTTGGTACAAGCAGAAGATTCTCGTCTCATGGGTGATATGTATGTTTTTCAAAACAATTACATTATCATTAATCTTTTACCTTTTATTTGGATCACACACATCACGTTGTTCTTATACCAGTTTGTGAACACATTTAAACTGTTGAGTAACTGCTTTGCTACAACTAAATATCATGTATTGTATAAGAAATACTTTTTTTCACTTTGTTTTCTAGGATATCTATGAAGAAGCGCTACAGAGAGTTATATGATTTAAACAGGGATCTGATAAATGAGTATAAGATCCGCTCCAACAATCACAATGCTCTACTCTCCTGCCTTAAATCTGTAAATCAAGCCATCCAGAGGGCTGGGAGACTGAGAGGTAAAACACTAATACATACACTGAATATTTCCTCATGTGTAAAAGCTTATTTGTGTGTGATGCATCGTTTAATTCTCTTTATACATTTTTATTCTTCAGTGGGAAAACCCAAGAACCAAGTGATATCTGCCTGCCGAGACGCAATCAAGAGCAACAATGTCAATGCACTGTTTAGAATCATGAAAGCAGGGACTGCCTCCTCCTGAGAATGACATGGTGTTGACACATAATCATAAACTCTACAGCACTGTTGTACAAAGCTAACATCTATGTAAAGGCAGGAGGTACATTTTTGCCTTAATTAATTTATGGTCTCAGAATACAGAGGTAACACAAAAAAGTCAGCCTCTCAGCCAATGCATTAGCTCTCTCTCATCTCTATGGTGGAAATGAAGAGCAGCCATGCTAATTAATGTATTTTAAGCAGCAAAAACTGAAACTAGCTTGTTTTATGACTGTCTCAGGGTGATTCACAGGTAGTACAGTTATTTTAGTCATTTGATTGGTTTTGCATAGGCGCTAAATTCAATAGCTCATTACTTGTATTGTATTCATACACTGCCATCTGCAGTGACCTGTGTTCATTGTGTTGGAATCTAACCTGCAGATATGTAGATATATGCATATGTGGTCCAGGTGGGGCTGCAGTGTTTGGAGTAATGTTTGGAGAGAATGACACAGTGTCAGGACTGTTTAATCCATCTGACATAGTGATGTTTAGAGAGAGAACAGCTGGATAGTCAGGAAGGGCCCAGTGTCAGCCTCAGATGTTGTCTATAGCCAAAGAAGCACGTTTTTAAGGATGTGGACTGTGTTTGTACATTTTTAGATAGACAGGTATGTATTTGTGATAATAATATGAATGAATAAATGAAAATTATGTCAGAAGATTTCAGTTAATAATCTTGTCCTCTGTCTATCTTGTGAAGGCTATATATGTATATACTAGTATCTGTAACTTTATAGTTAGGGATAACTATCTCATTCCATCTCATATCCTCTTCATATGTAACCTGTCAGAAGACTTTGTTCTGCTGGCTATGGCACCTTTCCATGCAGCGCGCACCTTTCCAGTCCTAGCACCCTCATGCACGCGCTCACTGTATAGGTCCTGGCTCTCACACGTGTGCTATAGACCCTCTGCACATATGGCCTGGTAACCGTCCAGATTACAGTCATTAATCACACTGGTGTGTGTCTGGACTCTGCATTCTGCACTCGGTCCGCTTCCGCTACACCCATACGTGCTCATGTAGCCTAAAACTGTGTGGAGATGGTGATCTTCACATTATCAGTTAAATCATAACATTAAGATAAGTTAGCCTTTATTTGTCCCACAAAGAGATTTTCAAGTGTTGCAACGTGCAGTTCAAGAACAGCAAGAGAATAGAAATAAGTACCAAGACAGTACACCGATTACCACAGTGGTTGTTTCCAATGAACAACTGGACAGTATGCCTACTAAAACCTGCGTTCCAATACTCCTTCAAAAACTTTGTTTCTGTTGATAGTTTTTGCTGTGTTGGCATCTGGCTCCTGAGTTTATGTCATGTCACGTGGTAACTTCCACGGACATCCACGCTGCAGTCAAGGAACTTCAGTACACAACACTTATCCCCTGTGCGTTTCTTTTTTTAAACTAAATTTAACACAAGTTTAGTTTATTGGCTTAAAAAGTAACTAAATGAAGAATAATGAAGACTAATTCAACCAATGTATTAGATAATTTAATCAGGATGCGCAAACTACATAGTTGCCATTTTCAATAGGCTGTTGTCCGTTTTCTAAGTTTTCCAGCTGCACTTGAACGCGTCTCACGCAGATTCGCTCTGGTTAGATCCATGGGTTAGTGCCAGATGTCTCTTACACACTTTCTGTTGACTCATTCTTTTCTCGCTCATACTTGAACCAGTTTATTTTTTATTCTTCCTATTTTATCTTTTCAAAGTTTGCGTGTTTTTGCTTACAAGTCCTCCAAGGCAGTGCAACAGTTTGTGTGCAACTACTCATCCAGGACAGAGGTTTTCAGTTCATTATGTACTCCTAAAACTAACGGTGAGTAAGTTTGATTGCAGTTTTTGTATAAGTTACAAGAGTTATCAGTTTTAACAGTTAAATATGAGTTGTGCAACATTTTTGTTTAAATACCCTTTTTTAGCATGGCCCTTTACGTAAGCAGTTTAGTTAGGATACCAGCTAAAAAGCATTTTGAGATTTTCTTTTTTTTAACGTAAAATCTAATGGGATGTATAGTCCCTACAGGATCGTTTATCATTAGAATCTGGGGACATGATGTTCTCCGGTATAATGCTACCCCTATATCTACTTATATAAGAGACAGACACACCCCCTTATAGTCATGGAGTTTATCTGTGAAAGTGGTTGCCTTAATCGAGGAATAAATAGCAGCCTAATAAAGAAGCCCATATAGAATGACTATTTTGTGCTTTTACTTACATCTGCTTCAGCCTTGTGCCTACTGGGAGAGTTTGACCCTCATAGCAGTGAGATGGAGGGAATAAAAAGAAAGAGGGGATGCCAGCGAGACGTGGCCACAGTGTCCCACAGATGGTGGCCACTAAAACAGCCTTACTAATCTGGTGTAGGTGATCTACAATGCACAGAAGTCCTGACGTGAAGTTAGATCAGACTTTAACTCCAGTATGGTGCACATGAGGAGGCTCTTGCGAGTGAAGGGAGATGTTCTGTGCAGTATGCTGCTTCTGCTGCTCTTCTGTCTGCTGTTTTATGCCCGGCAGGTAGGTCTTATACCTCTACAAAGACTTTAGGTGGTACACTCCGTACTCTATACACTATTGTGTTTTGTTTTGTTTTACTGAAGGTGATACTGTCCTCTGGATGGGACAGACCCCTCTTGAAACTGGAGGTGAACAGCTCTACCAGCTCCAGTCGAACTCTTCTGGGCGCTAATAGATCCAAAGTAAAAATTATTGTAAGAAATTCCATTTATTTATTATTTGTATTTCTCAGATAACCATAAATAGGGCATGGTAATGTGATAATAAAAATGTATCCTGATCTGATTCATGTGACTCTATGATCATTTAGTGACCCACCCCCTCTGTATAGTTACTCTCAATATCGCAAATCAGTTTTTCTCTATATAATGCAGCTGTCTGCTCAAACCATCAACTGTATAGATAAATGCACATAGCTGACGTACTAGCTGCCGCGTTTCAAATTGGAAGTGTGCATGGGGCCTTTCCAATTGACTTTACACTGGAAAATTGTCTGTAACTGCTGTAGTAAGCTTTGTCATTTTGGTCTTAAAATGTTTGTAGTAACCCAGTCTACATGATCTTGATGTTTTTATTTTGATATTTTGTATATAAATAAATTCCTATTCCTAATATGGACCTGGCTCCAAATTTTCCCCTGTAACTGCAAGCCTCAATGAGCTTTATTTGACTAGAGCTGAACACTATGGGTGACTTTACACTCCCTTAGTCCATTCCTTTATACAGTCTATTTCTCAACACATTTTCCCCATCCACTCCTCCTATTAGTCAGCCTCCATCATGCTCTGAATGAGTGACAGCTGCTTTGAACCAGTCACAGTGAAGAGTGATCTTACAGAACAGGCAGATGACAAATTAAAATGACCAGCTTCACACTGTATTAAACAATGGTATGAAAATATTGATTAATCTTATTCTTCTGTACTCTTCTATCTCTCCATTATTTTTTCCAGCCTGCCACGAGACTCGCAGATCCAAAGCTGGACACTCATAAGCCTCAGACCAAAACCAAAACTCCACAGGCCAAGTCCAAAATCCAGGTTAAATCCAAGGGGAAATCCAAGTCGAGACGCAAGAATGCAGCCAAACCAACCAGGCCTCCTCTGCCCACTCTGCCCCCATTCGACTTCGAGGGCTACCTGAAAGCAAAGGACAACCGGAACTTCAGCCTCCTCATTGACCAACCTGACAAATGCCACATAGATGGACAAATCGCCCCGTACTTGCTTATTGCTGTAAAATCTGTGGCAGCTGATTTTGATAAGCGCCAGGTAAGATTTGTCATTTGATTGATTTGATTTATTGTCATTGAATGAAAAAGTAAGAAAAAGCATGAACATGTTTAAAGGGCCCATATTACGCTATTTTCTGATCTATGTTTTAATGTTGTTTCCTCATCACAAACTGACCTGGAGTTGTGTTTTGTTTCATTCACACATGTTTAACACTCAAATCCTGCATATTTAGGCTTAGAAGTTCTTCTCTCAAACAAAAAACACTCTGTTCCACCTTGTGATATCATGTGGTAATGCTCCACTGTGTTTTTAAACTCTATACACCTTCACTAGAATCATGGGTAATTTCAGACATGGATTTGTCCATCTCTACTGAACAAGAGGTAAAAGGTAGCTGTTGACTTTAAAACTACGGCTGCATGACATCACAAGGTGGAACAGAGCATCCTGAGCTTTAGAGGTATAGACAGACTAGTAATAAAGTGTTACTCAAACAAGTGTGAATGAAACAAAATCAACCCCAGATATGTTTTAATGAGATAACAGCATTATAACATGGCTTAAAGATCACAATAGTCAATTTGGCATAATATAGGACCTTTAACCCCTTAACACCTGAATTTATATAGAAGTTTTGTGTGTGTTTTTGCCTTTAAGTAGATGGTAAATTAAGTTGAGATTATTAATTTGACTATAGCAAAAAAAATAAAATTTAATTAAAAGAAATTTGGGTATGTTGCAAATTTGCGACAACTAGAAACAAGTGCTTGCCAAAGGCTCATGGCACTAACCAGCATTGTGGGAGTGCAGCCGCTATCTCGGCTTATATCTTGATCCAAACGGTTTGTTGAATATTTGTGACAGTCAGCATTAAGGGGTTAAAATACTGTTGTTTCTTCAGGTTGTGCGTCGGACCTGGGGGAGAGAAGGGAACTTTCCAAATGGGGTCACCATACGCACAGTGTTCCTGCTGGGTGTCCCAAGGAACCAGAGTGCCCTGCCCTTATGGGACAAGCTCCTGGAGTATGAGAGCCAGAGCTTTAAAGACATACTGCTGTGGGACTTTGAAGACACCTTTTTTAACTTAACGCTGAAGGAAACACACTTTTTGATGTGGGTCAACAGCAGCTGTGAACATATCAAGTAAGTGTAAAAACGAAAGGTATGGGAAGTCATGCAAGTCACCATTGGCCTCAAATGACAAATTACAAATAACTTAAAGGCCCTGTGCTTGATTTTACCTTGTACCTGATGTATTTGAGCCATAGACTCTATGGACATAGCTAACCTGATAACTGCTGCATTCCAAACAGGAACTAAGCATGGGCACACTTCCAGCTCCATTTATTCTGGTTCCAATTCACTTTGTATTGAAAAAACATTGCCTCTCTCCCTATAACTACTGTTGTGAGGATCCTCATTTTGGTCTTAAAATGTTTGTATTAACCCACTCTAATCAGTTCCTATTCCTAATATGCAACTCCAGTTCAAATTCGACCTATAACTGCTAACCTTGTGAGCTTCATTTGACTGGAGCTGAACGCTATAGGAGGTGCCACACACTTAGTCCACTTTTTATACAGTCTTTGATTTTATCAAAGTATGTATTTGTCTTGCCCCAGTACAGATGCTCTATAAGCAGCTCTTGAAGACTAAGTAGGTCAGTTGCGTACTGTCTGCATCTATTTATAAGTGTTTTATTGTCTAATAATCAGGATGTGTGTGGTTAGCATGCTAGTTGGTCTTAGCTTTATTGTGAAAATCATTTATAAACTCATTGTGATGAATAATTAGGATGCTGAGATGAACTTGTTCTGTTTTTTAGTAAAACAATCAGGTACAGCACCTTTAAAGGAGACTTAAGTATTTTAAGAACTTTTAACCATGTTATATCCATCATTCACATACACAGAGCTGCATTTTGATTCATTCATCATGTTTGAATAATGCTGTCCTGCATTCAAGGCTTGACTGCTCAGTATACATAAATTTTCACTTACCACCTTTGCCCACGCACTGCTCTGTACTTACTTTCAATTTCTCAAAAAAATCAGACTTTGGGTCATACATGTAGGGTTAGAAATGCCATTGTAAACCTTTTTCAAAAATAAAAGCATCCAGTGCGTGCTGCAGTGACATTTCAGTATGAAGTGGAAGGGCCTATGAGTTCTGCAGTTTTCAACAGGAAGTCCATTAACATGTTTCTATCTTTAAGATGTTTTAAATCAATATTGCCATTTACAATGAACAAAATGTGAATGTGAATGTAAAGACACTTTTATAAAATTTGTATCTTTGCTTTAATTTCTTAAATAATATTCAAGAGTTTTAGGCAACAGAGTGTCTGTGCCCTTTTTACCAGGTGTTTTCTTTACAGGTTCATCTTCAAGGGTGATGCTGATGTCTATGTAAATATTGAGAACATTCTGGAGTTGCTGGAGGGTCAGGAGCCAGAGGAGGACCTGTTTGTTGGTGATATTATTGTGAAGGCCAGACCCATTCGCCGACGCAGCTCAAAGTACTTTGTTCCAGAGTTTGTGTATGGAGGCACTCTGTACCCATCTTATGCTGGAGGAGGAGGATTCGTAATGTCTGGGTTCACAGCTCGGAGACTTAGCTCAGCATGTCAACAGGTACTAAACTTAAACGTAAACTTGATGAAGAGCTATATAATATTTGATAAGCCACGGTCTCTTTTACCTTTAGTTCTTCACATTAAGACACAGTAACTCATAATTAAACTAAACAATTACCTTTAAAGGTGCACTGTGTAACTTTCTGGTGGAGGGTCTACCACCTGCTTGTCTCCATGGAAATGTTATTGCTTTGTTTAGAATGTCCCACATTAAACTCATATGGCATTAAACTCATCTATCTCCATGGAGACAAGCCCACAAAGCCTCCAGGTCAAGTTACAGTTCAGATCTGTGGAGAGGTGAGCTCATTCACTGTTAGAACGCCTGTTTTTCATAGTATTTTTAAGCAATAAAGCACCTGTAATTTAATGAATTAGGGCTATATCCATGGAAACCCCCTACCAGAAAAGTTACAAGGGTACCTTTAAATTATATCTCCTAGTCCTAGTTTCCTAGACATTAAGTCTTGCAGTGCCTTTCCATTACCCTTGTGAAAAGATATCTCCTTTGTGTTGGTATTGTGTTGTTTTTCTGTCCTATAGGTGGAGCTGTTTCCCATCGACGACGTATTTTTGGGAATGTGTCTTCAGCAGATTGGAGTCAAACCCTTGCGGCACCAGGGCTTCCGGACATTTGGGATACCCCGCCCCTCCGCCGCACCTAATCTCCAAACATTTGACCCGTGTTTTTACCGTGAGCTGATGGTGGTCCACAGCTTGAGTGTCCCACAGATATGGCTGATGTGGAACCTGCTGCATGACTCTAAAGTGAGTTGCCACAACAGAGCGCAGGCCACCTCCAGACCTTTCTCCTGGAGGTTTGACAACAGGCCCCAAACAAAGGGGACAGCAGACACAGACTACGGAGAAACAAGAGTGTTTGTCATACACTAGAGTCTTAATGTCATACATGAGAGAAAGTGGGGATGGTTCTTTGCACTAAAAACACCACCTTCATAACGTACCACTGCAAACTAATAAAGAAAATGTGTCTAAATCAGGGCTAAATTAGGCTTAATAGGACAGGGAATACTCCAGTGCTATCTGGAGATTTGCCAAGCTGTGCAAGAGAATCTGGCTGTAGACCTCCACGCAGAAGATCTCCACCAGGATGACCCTCCACCCACTTTTTTATTAGTTTTTTATCTTATTAAGAAATTAAATTATCTGCTGTTACTAAGGCAACAGGGAATACAGTTGTATCTGCTGTTGCCTTAGTTCCCTATAAAATGTTATTACAGGTTATAAAGCATTTTATCATTTTTTTTTAGCACTTCAAAGATTGTACATTTAATTCACAATATGTTTCTAAAAGTTTCCTCATTTTAAATTAACTTTGTGTTGTCTCTACTGTATTCTGCTTGCATAGGGATAACACATATTCAACCTGTAGCCTACAATTATACAAATAATATAGGCATATTATGTATTTTGTCCGTGAATGTGTTGCCATAGGCCCCATGTTTGGTTAGGATTAGACGCAAATCTGTTATGGATAAGGTTAGGGAAGGCGTTTGGGCTTGTCTTTAGTGTAAAACTTCTGTCAACTTCTGTAACATTGAAAACAGCGGGCATGAAACAGTGGACTTTGGTGGTCTTTTAGCTTGGCCGCTGTTTGTTTACTTTAGGGACGTGTGGATGGAGGTAAGTCACGTGAGGGTCCTGTGGGTGGAGGTCTGAGGTTTGGGTTCCTCTCAAAGTGTGTATCCCTTAACTCAATGTTGTTTATTTTTTGTAGAAATGAGGCCAACTAAAATATGTTTGAATGAGAATGTGACAAATGTGATATGTTCAAAATTTACTTTTTGAGAAAAATGCTCTTGAGGATCAAGTAGGCTATATTCTTTGTTTATGAAAAAAAGCCATGTCTTTATTTTATTTTTGTTTAACTGTTATAAGACCCTGAAGTTTGCACTCAGCACATTGTGCAATTGCTGTTTCCAACAGTGGAGTGAAGAGTTCTCTGTGCCCTTGTGTTGTTATAAAGTACTGTATCATGTATTTAAACAGACTCTTGACAGTAGTTTTGTTAAATGCAGTTATAACTGGGTATTCCTCTCTGACATAAGCAGGTAAAATGTGCCCCTTGACTGGAGCCAAAGACTTATTATTGACACAATTATTCTTCTTAGCATTTGTTCTTTGGACAAGAAACAACCAAATCCAAATAAGAACCATCTGTTGAGTGAAAATCTGAGTTTACAAAAACATTTGAAGTGTGGTGGCTGTGAAACCAAAAAGCATTGTAGTATAATGTACAGAAAATCAGCACATTTTTGTATCATCTTTTATTGGTTTTCATATTACACATGATGCTTGCTTATGAACCTCAAGCTCATCTTGATTGAAATGTTTCATTGGACTGAAGATGGCGCTGCCACCTCAGTACCAATAGAAAGATTTTCATTATGGAAAAGACAGTGTCTTCCATTCTCATTGCACTATTGTAGCCACTTTATCAGTGGACATGCTAAATAACTATGTTTGACATATACAAAGTTATCCAATTCAAAATATAAAATGCCACATTCCAATGGATTTCACAAGTTTTAATTAAGTATAATTGTCCCATTTCCAGAAACAGGATTAAAATATACGGCCACAAAAATAGTCTGGAGAGTAAGGATTAACAGAACATGAAGCAAGAAAAACATTAATATGATACAAGGCATTAACATGATTTTATCATTACACCAAACTGAAGCTGTCCCATTACAAATAACAGTCACTCATCTCATTCACCAACAGCCACACAGCTCCACAGAGCCTCTTGTTTTTCAGCTTCAGACAGTAGAAAAACAAGGGTATGATATGGTCACCTGAGTTAGGGGCGATTTTCACTACCCACCACTCTCCCTCTGTCCTTAACACATTACATCATCAAAGCAGTCCGCTCATGCGCTGGGCTGGGCTGTCTGAACTGGGACAAACACTAAGATCTGAAAAGTTTCACAGTGGACAGATGCTTGGCTCAGCCCTGCCTATCCACTGTGTGGGTTAAATTTATGTTAAAAATCAGAGGCTCATTTCTGAGCATGTTAGCCCAAATAACTCATGGGTGATTATGTTTAGAATATGCGATTAATTTTCCTATAAAGAAACATGTGAGACAGCTTATCAAAATAGCCAAAAGCTACGAAAGCAGCATTCACATTACTGCATGCGTATGATTTATTTTAGGTATTAAATGCTCAACAGCCCAGAGCTCCTGAAGCAATCGATTACAAAATCACAGTGAGCCTTTGAGGGTAAAAAGCTACTGAACCTCCACCACTGCCCCTTTTGGAAAACCCCAACCCAAAGCTGTTCTTATGCAGCCAACAAACAATTTACAGAAGAAAACTGCAGCTAGGACATCTCTTGAGCTAACTCTGCTTAGTGACACGCACATACAGTACATACACTGTACAACAATGCTGTTCACATGCATTCTCATTAGAAGAGGAGATTGCTTTTTTTTTTTTTTTTTTTTTTTACAGAGGACAGAGAAAGACAGGCTCGGTGGGAGATGAGGCACAATGTTCTCACATATTCACCTGCATTAAAAGCATGTTTTTATTTCCTTGTAGTTACTGCCAGAAGCACAATCTAACATTACTAAAGCCACAACCTAATCACAGCCTAAGTGAGTCCAGGAGTTGCACCTGGAGACTCCTTGAGCTGCTTCTCTCCACTGCACTTTATCACTGCTCACGCCAACTGCAGAGCAAGTACTTTATTGGTTCAAAGCTCCAAGCAGCCAAAAATATTTTGAGGCTAGTTATGAACATGTCAGTCTACAGTCGCAGTGTAAGTGGGCATGGCTCGTGTGCCAGTGTTACAAATGAGCGTCTTTCTGCACAGTTGTTCAGACTGGATCAATCAGACCAGAGAACAGGAGCACACAGTATTTACAACAAATGTACAATAAGGTGAAACATCAGAGCCCATAAACAAAAGCATGAGGTCAACTAAAGGTCTGGAGGTTTTATGTGGTAAACCTTTCAGTATTTTACTTTTCTGGTACAATACACTTTGCTAAAGGTTCACATATTTAAATGTGTGGGCTCTGACATACACCTTGGACCATTTACATGTTCAATAAAAAAGTAAGGTCTGTACCTAAGCAAACACTGTATAATGTGTATTTATTGAATTTTAGCAGATGAAAATTAATTTTAAGATTTGAAGGGAAAGAGACAGCATGATAAAGAAATGGCTGCTGTTCTTATGTATTAAAAAAAAATTCAAATGTACAAAGACACATCTATGTCAAGCGTAATGATCCATGACTTCACTCACATGAATTTAACAGAAAAGTGTGACCAAATCCACATGAAACTCCAGTTTCAGTGCATTGTGAAACTTAAGAAGTGACCAGAGAGAGACAGGAGGGGGAGGTGAAGACATGCACTCATCATACAACAGGCATACAGTAACAGAGACTGATGAAGTCATCTTGAAATATCTTTGGCTGTAGCAATTGGCAATCAGACAAACGGAGATGAGAGCTGGACTGCAACACAACAACCAAAAGTGCATGTAGACATGGGAAGCTGTAACACTGAGGACAAATTACGGCTCTCATCTGTACAAAAAAAGAACACATTTTACTATCTAGAAATGTCTATTTCTAAAGATATGATGTAATCAAGTAAAAGTGTGTTTTAGTGCAAATGTATGTTTTAAAAATACAAAAATGGAAATGCTCTTAGTGTGAAAAAGTAATTTAAGTCCTCACAAAAGCATAAGGACGGATCTGAGTAACTGAACTAGTTGTATTTTGTGCTTGTTGTAGATCTCACTCTGCCAAGTCATGTGTGTTTCCTGTCACTCTGAAAATGTGATGATACCTACAGAACAGAGGAAGTGTTTCATGTGCTTTAATTAAATCCTCAAATGTATGCTATTAGCTTCTGTGTTTTGTGGGTGAGCAACAAACCAGAGCAATGACAGTTCAGAGCAGCAAACTGGAGACAATAAACAGATCTGAGTTTGCTCTGGGCTCCACGGCGCCTCACACTGGCCAAAAGTGGCTTTAGTCTGACTATGTTTCTTACTCTCCCAACCCTGAGTGTGTGTATTACTCTCCAATAAAAGAAAATACTGTTGCAGTCCAGTGTAGCGCTGAATGGCTGCTTTTAGGTGGGCTGGTTTGACTCTTGTAGCTTAAATATATATGACAAGGTTGTGGCAGGAAGACAGGTGGTGCACGCGTAATCTGGCAGTATCTGTAAATGTCAAGTTTGCTTGCAAAACTGGACTCAATAAACCTATGCTCTTGTAATTGAATGCTGGTTGAGCCACAATGCTATATTAGTGGCCATCTTCCACAAGAACCATGTTGCAGCATTTGAATACTTCTACTAAATAATATGAGGATCTCCAGCAGGTGCTCCAAGGTGACATCAAAAGCTGGGCGTTAGCATATGACCTGACCAAACTTTAGGATTTGAGTGGTAGTCAATGAGAAGCGATAGGGTCACGGGCCTGGAGGTTTAGTCAATGCAGGTACTGATTTGATGTCATCAGTGGGAACTACTACTTGACCCAGGTCGGGGTTGACTGGTGGTCCGAGGAGCTCCATACAAAGTAACTGATGCTATGTGGTTATTCTGCATCACCTGTGTAGTCAAAGAAACCTACTGTTAGACTGGACTGGTCATTTTAAAACAAACTAACTTTCAAAACAACATTGAGCTCAAAGATTCTAAATAGTGTCACCTCAAAGATCATCCTTTGCAGTCCAAAACAGAAGGTGGAGCCAAATGGGTTGGTGTTGTTTGCTGATGAAGACCTGTAAAGCACATATAACATAAAATGAAGACCTGTAGAGAGATAAATTTGTGCTTTCTTGTTGCTGTGATGTATTTTTTTAATTGTTAAGCTGCGTTAAAGAAAAAAGTTAACACAAAATAAAAAACACTGTATTTGAAATAGTTTGAGGAGCTATATTGTATACGTTATTGAAAATGACACTACAATTACAGAGCCTAGAATAACATATAATAGAACAAATTTACCTATGGGTACGAATAAAGCAACTTAACCTAACCTAACCTAACCTAGAATGACTCTCCGTGAACTCTATTTACCTGTGAAGCACTACAGGTTTTTCCATTGGATGTCCTAACAGTTCTTGAATTTGATCCCACTGAAACAGACAATATTAAGAGACACTGAAATGCTTTGGGGGAAAAAAAACACTTTCTTTTTATTATTAGAGTTTACCATATTTTATGGGCTATTAGGTGCTCTGGCTTATAAGACACACTATCATTAAATGGTCTATTTTCAAACTTTTTTCACAAATAAACCGCACTGGACTTTAAATGAAACACAACAGTTCGATGGGTCAGTCGGACTTTGTTTGGCGCATTCACGGTGACTCTTGGCTTTGTTCAATTGTGGCGTGTAGGGAGGGTGCTGTCTGGGACCGCTGGATTGTTGGTGTGTTCGCAGTGACTCAGTTGTTCAGTTGTGGCTCAGAGTGGCACATTGGACTCGCTTTTTCGGTTCATTCCTCCGTTCCGTTGCTCGTCCGTTCCGTTCCTGGAGTGATGAGTGTGGCTGCGGGTGTGTTTCGCTGCGCGGTTGCTGTCTGCTCCATGCGTGTTTGCGTGCGCTGCGGGTGGTGCGGCTTTGTAGTTTACTGAAGTCGTGCTGGGACACCCGAGTGAATTAGTGTATGGGGCGCTCTGGATTGCGGGGCACGTGGTCGTTTTTTGATGGGGTTAGAGGCTTAAAAGCGCATCTAATTGCCCGGAAAATACGGTATGTTAAAAGGGCCCATATTATGCTATTTTGCTCTATGTTATGATGTTGTTTCTTCATCACAAACATACCTGGAGTGGTGTTTTGTTTCATTTTCACATGTTTAACACACAAACCCTGCATATTTAGGCTGAGTTCTTCTCTCAAACAGAAAATACTCTGTTCCACCTTGTGATTTCATGTGGTAATACAGAAAGAACACAACTCCAGGTGTGCTTTTGAGAAGGTAACCACATTCTAACTTGGCTTTTAAGTAAAATAGGACCTTTAATATAGTGCAGACGGGGCAATGACTGACCTTGCTGTAGGCGGTCAAGATGCAGTCCTCAGTCTGAGAGTCAGTTCCCTCTGAAATCAACATCACATTAGAAACATTTAGAATATTTGTTTTAATGAACTGTGCTTGACAAAATGTTTGACACAACTCACCTTTTTTGATGACTATTGGAATCTTAAAGTCACATCGATGATATCTAAATCACAAAATAAACAGGAAGAGGCCCTTGTTGTAATTACTGCAGAGAGAACTTTCATGTAGTACCTTAATATTTTAGCTGTCCTCTGTAATGATTGTCTATTATTTCTTCATGTGATTGCCTTTAAAGGTTCACTGTGTAACTTCTGGTCTGTGTAACTTCATCTGGTTGAGGGTTGGTCATCTTCTTGTCCATGTCCATGGAGATGTACTTAGAATGTTCCACAGTATGGCCATAAACTTAAGAATCTAGATGGACACTTGCCAGCCAAATTACAGGTTAGATTTGTGGAGAGGCGACCTCATTCACAGTAATAATTAATGATTTTTAAGATATTTTTGAGCAATAAATAACACCAAGTTGAATAAATGCAAGACAGATTTAGTTTAATGCCATACTGTGGACAATTTAAACCAAAGCATTGACATCTCCATGTAGACAAACAGGTTGCGGACCATCTCCAGGCAGGTTACACAGTGCACCTTTAATGTCTCATGGTGAACTTTGAGCTTTTTACACGTGTTTTTCCAAGATGGTTTTTAACTACAGATGGCAAATAAAACTAACCTAACCTAGAGTGATGTTTGAGATGTGACATAAAGCAATACTCACATATTGAAGTTGTAATGTCCAGGAAAATTTGTATGGAGGACAAACTTTTTCACCAGGTGGGTAGTGGAATCAAACAGGATATCCTGAAATAGGAAAAGCCTTTTAAACTCCAAGTTTGGTAAAAGAGACTGACCACAGCCTTATCTCTGCCCCACAGCGGGTGAGTAAAGAGCAGATAGAGGAGCCCCGACTGACATCACATCAGATCTGAGGCTTTGACTGGGTACAGGAAACAAAGCCCACACCTCTGGATGAACAAGATAGTAACGCCAGTGGCCACTCCAACAAGATAACAAATGAAACCAACTGAAAAAAATCCTAAAATAGCAGAATAACAAATGAAACCAACTGAAAAAATCCTAAAATAGCAAGTTATTATTTAAAGGTCCTGAATTACACAAAATTAGCTGTTACCTTCTCAAAAACGTACCCGATGTTGTGTTTTGTTTCACACGTCTGAGTAACCCTGCACTGTTAATCTGTCTACATCTCCACAGCTCACCTTGTGATATTATGTAGTTTTAGTTTTAATGTTAACAGCCACCATTACCTTTTGTTTTGTAGTGATTGACAATTCCAGGGCTCAAATCATCCAAATGATTCTAGAGAAAGTGTATGGAGTTTAAAAACACAGTGGAGCACTTCCTGTATTTCGTCATGAGATCACAAGGTGGAAAAAAGTGTTTTCTGTTTGAGTGAAGAACTCTGATTAAATATGCAGGGTTTGTGTGTTAAATGTGTGCATAAAACAAAAAACACAACTCCAGATATGTTTTTGATGAGGAAACAACATTAGGACATAACAAAGATCAGAAAGCGTAATATAGGCCTTTTAATTCCCTTGAAACAGAAATTGTAAAGAGACAATTTTACACATTAAAAATTGTTGGATCTTACTTCACTTAAGTTTAGTCATTTTTTAAACAAAACTGATTACAGATCTCTTTACTCTGACTATACAAGTTAAAATATTTCTGCTCTTACAACACATACAAAACAAGGAAGGGAATACATACCACTCCCAGGGTGAAGTAGTTGAAGAAGTAGTCATTACATTTTGAAGGAACTTGCTTATGTGGGGACGGAGAGTGGATCTTCATCTGAACAGAAAAAATCATAACATTTTGTAAACATATTCTTTTTGCTGTAACAAGACAACCAACACAAATCTTTTTACCTTGTCTTCAGACTTATAGAAGACTTTGTGTGGCGAGCCCAGAGCCCCCAACACATCCTGACATGAATCACCAAAAGAAATGCTCCTCTCGATACAGCGGATTTTGGAGTCTGCCATCACACCGGGTCCACAGCCTGCACACAAGGTAACCATCATGTAGCTATGGCACACTTAGGCGCTAAAGATATGATGAGAGTTCTAGGCCTGTCACGATAATCACTATATCAACATCGTTCAATATGTGAAAGCTGGAAAAATATATTTTGGGGCTCAATATTTATTGCGTACATATTTTTGTTGCAATAGTGGGGCGGTTTCTGCCATTTTTTATGAAATATTTTTTGAGCTGGGGATGAAAAGGTAACCACCAGAACTAATTATTCCACCAGGACTATTCATTTTGCTATTTATTTGTTGTAGCTCATGCTTTTTAATGATACTGTATTATTAAAATGGTTCATTGGGATTAGCCTGCTTTGTGTCAGTGGCATAAAGTTGTTTCAGTATTATTGTTTACATAGTATTTCTCTGTAGCAATATATCATACTTCAAAATCTGTTTTCACAACAGGACAGGCGTAGAGCGATCATTGTTCAAAAATATGCATATGCACAGTGAGGAAAAGCAGGTGTACACATTAAACACCAAAGTTTAAACCGATATTAAAGTGAGTCTGATGGTATGCGGCAGATACTGTGACATGCGGGTGTGCTGGAGTAGCTGCAGACATATGTCACCTGCAGTGAGTAGGCGGAGTTTCAGCCCCAGGGGTCCAGCCTGGTCTCTCACGACATCCACACACTCTGCATAGATGTTACCAAGGAAACAGGCCAACGGCATGGCTGGGGCTCTGGAGACACACAACAGGGATTGGTCACTTTTTTCTTTCTTTCGAGACTGAAGCTCAAAGCCTTGTTTTGGCTTTTTGTACATAGACGTAATTAATTTTTTTCCCTGACATGTTTTTAAGCCCTGAATAATAATTTAACTGTAAGATAATTACTCTGGCTTTAACAGTGACAGCTAAATCAATGTGATTTGATGATTTGCATGGGTGGAAAAACCAGAGTGACTGTGTGTACCAGACTGTTTGTGCTATACCTTGTTTCCTGCAGGTTGTTGCCTGTATAGATGTGCATTCTTTTCACCATGGCCCCATGGGGAATCTGTAGAGAGGTTAAAACAGCTTCAAATTAGCCACAATGAGCTATATTATGTGTTTAGTTATTAAATCAAAACAAGTAACAAGACAGCAAGGTATATTCAATTGCCCAAATAATGTAAAATGTTCATTTAAAAAAAGAACTGAAAAGTAAACCAACTAAACATGATACAGCCCCGCAGACAGTGTTTGACATTATTATGAAAACAGATCACATAAATTTGGCATTTAGAGAAACAGATGGCAAAGAAGACATTTTCAGCCGTTTTAGTGCTGCCAAAGCACCCACAGTCTGTTTGTTTATAAATATATGATTAAGCAGACTGTCTGAGAGCACTTTACCCTGTCTGGTTTCAAAGATCTGCTGCTACTATGTCTCATAGTGATCAAGTATGAAGCTAAAACTACACCAAGGCTCTGAACAATGCACAACAGACTCGCATGTTATAACTCAATCTTCAGGATGTTTAAAAAGCATTTTACTTTAGTTTAGTTATACTGATAGAGAAAACAGTGAGTTTTGTACCCATTTTCCTTTTCTGTGAATAGACCAGGTAATTACAGAGATAAAAATCAAAGCATCTGCTATCTGACAGTTAAACAGCAAATCCCACCTTAGAAAGCTATCCTGTCCTCTAACTCAATACTACTATAGGGATTCTATAGTAAACGTAACTTATTCTAAAGACATCATGGTAGCTCTGCAAAAACAAACACACTTACAAACATACATCTTGAGCAACGAATAACTGTCCAAACTCACCGCATAAACAAATGAATTAATAACTCACCTCATACTTGGGAGCTTCATTCCATGAGTCCAGTTGAAACGAGAAGGACAGACCACGGAAATTGAGATGAAACAGTTGCTCCACGGCATTGTAAACTGTAACGTAAAAAATATAGTTCAGATTTTCTGGGACCATTAAAATCATGTCTCCATTATTTAGCAGAAATCATTACAAAACATTGGTTTACAAAAAGAAAACTACATTTTCCAGAACAAAAATTTGTCTTGTGTAATGGTTTGTAATTTACCTCCAGGGTGCGTAGCTCCAAATGACTGGTCTATTTGCTCTATTGTAGGAGCAATGGCTTGAGAGTTGAAATGCACTCCACTGAAATACATAAAAAACCAATTAACAAAGTTTACCAATTGCATGGGCAGTACTGCATGAGCCAAGAAGACCAACATACAAAAATACAAACAATATTTTTTGTGGTGCATTTCTTATCACACATATTGATGCTAAACCATACACACCAGTATTTCAACTTGACTTTGCTTAGGTCGTACACTTCAATGACCTGTGAAAAAAAGAGCAACATTACAATAGTGAGAAGGAAGTCTTCTCTATGCCACATACTGTTTTCATGCATTCACTGGGAAGGAACAAGAACCATGTTCACATACAAGTATGCAATGCTAGAAAAATGCTGACTGGTTAAAGTTGCCAACGAGCCAGTCCCTCCTACTTTTTGTTCCAATTTTGGTCTGTTCCAATGACAGCCATTGATTTGTAGTAAGTATTTCTCAAATGCAGAAGCCATTGCTTCTCTTATATTCTGTTATGGTTCCAGACCGTACACCATTGTAAAGAATTATAAAAGTGTGGGGTCTTGGCTGGCCAGGTAATGGTTAAAGCATTTTAAGATGGCTGGTGGAATTGACATTTAATAAAGTTAACATTCTTTAGTGCGTTCATAATGTGTCCTTTATTTTTACCTTAAGTCTTTGATTTGTGGCATCAAACAGCAGTTTAATCCCATCCTGAGTCAAGTTCAGTATAAGGTCATGACTAAGTGGAAGCTGGTGGAAGACAGCACACACATTAATTAACAAAGGCTGATACAAAGTACACAAAGACATCTGATAATTTAAAAGGCAATTAAAAATACCTTTGTAAATGTACACCAGCATTCATAATAGCAGTTTGCATATTGGTCTGATTTTAGTGTGTATTCTCACCTGCTCGCTGTACAGCACCTGGACATTTTTAATGATGCGGCAGTGTTTCTGGAGAATAGAGATGGCCTGGGCCAACGGCATCCCTTTGAACATATTAGCCAAATCATTATAAACTGAGACATGCATTGCTACTATATCATCAATCTTAGGTGAGCAAAACTTACCTAAGGCAAATTCCCATTGTTCATTTCCAAGTGATCTCTCAGGGACCACCTCCAGGTCCAGCATTGGCAACTAGTGCTGCAGCCTACACACTTCAGTACACAATGGGATCCAGTGAGGGACCCTCTTTTACAACCTGTTTGTTCACGATTTCAACTGAGCCTAACAACTAGTTATTTCATATCTCAGGTCACTTAATTTTTCAACTATACCAATGTCACAGGACTGCTCTCAAACTGTAGTTAGAGTAACCACTTTATCACATGCCCTGTATTTCTGACACTCCAGACAGTATCAAAATTATGATAAACGTAAAAAAAAACAAAAACTAAAGTACCTACAACAACACTAAGTAGCGAGACTTGTCAAACAGAACACGTGACACTTTGCTGCCAACAGATCGCACATAAACAAATTACGCAATCTGTGAGCAAGCCACTCGCACAAGGCCAGCTGTCCCTTGACCTAATGCCAGTCAGTGGCATTTGAAATTGAGAAATCAATAACGACAGTAAAAAACAAACAAACAACCAACACAAATGTAAATAATGTTTGTTCAGCACAACACAATCCTCAGTAATATTAGTTCAATAAGAAGCTAAAAGCTCATCAGCTTCACTGCTACACTGTCCCGCATTAAAAAGAATAGTCACAGCCAATAACACGTATTCTGTAGAAAAGTGAGCAAACAGCGGTGCTCTTTCAGCTCGTTATCTGTGAGTCGCGGTTACGAAAGCAACAAAGCTTCACAACAAGACTCCTTGAGCTATGAGCTAATGTTGGCTAGTGCTAGCTGTCGCTGGAGAAAGTTGTAACATACGATACAGAGTAATTACTGGCACACGGGAAATAAACAATAGACTCAAGGCAAATAAAATATTGCTTTTACACTGGCACGATAAAGACAATAAACGTACACGGAGTCGTCGGCTGTTTTCTTTCTTTTACCGAGGCTCAAGCTTAAAGCTAGCTCACTTGTCGCTAAGCGCTGCTGAGAGGAAATTATATCCTTGTTACTTCTAAATCGTCGTGAGGCAAATCTCCACCGTGTCCCTTGTGTGATTTTAAGTGTCCTCTGTGACAGCAGCAGATTAGAGCAACACAGTGCTCAAACAAGCAACTTCAGGCATCAACAACAGCAGCACGATCAGCTGATCATTCAACTTCCGCTCTACGTACGGCGTACGTCCTCTGCGTCGGTCAGCTGACGCTCAAACTCAGACAGCGGGAGAAAATGCTTTCTTTCATAAATTATTGCTTTTTGAATTATTTCTGTATATGAATTACAGTAAGACATTCAAAGTGTGAAAGAGATATTAATATTATGGTTTTAAGGACTAAATATTCAAACTAATGCTGTAGCATAATCTAATCTAATGGTAGAATGAACACTACCCTTAACACCTGTTATAGGCCTACCTTTACAGACTTTCTAGGGTAACATGCTAATGCATTTAAAACACACACACACCCTTTTGGTTTTGCACTTTTTAATGTTTTATTTTTTTTCCTTTAAAATGTTGGTTCTTATAAAAGGTTATGTACGGGGCTTTATGGACAGAAACACAAAATGTAAAGCTGTTTGAGGAAAAGGGGGCTCCATAATGATAGGAAAATTCAAATAGAAATGTTGAGTGCACACATGTAAAATACACACTGGAAATGAAATGAGCTTCAAGCTGTAAATCAAATGGCTAGGGCATACAAACAAACATTATTAACATAATTAATAATAGAAATAAAAGACACATGAAAACAAGCAAACATTCCCATGTTATCCAAACATTGCAAATCATCTATACATACAACACCACTGCTATAGGTCATAATAAAGCTGAAAGAAAAATGAATACAGAGTTCAGAAAATATATAAAAAGTAAACATCATGACTTTCACACAGACAAAATAATAAGATAACAAAATGTAACGTTTTATCACACTAGTGCTGTAACAAGGGAATAGACCACTGTGGTCTTGCAGTACTCCTTCTTTAAGTAATGGTTAGTTTAAAATAAAATGCATGATCACCAAAAGCCAAATTGAAGCAGATTTTAAAATAGAATAAAACATCTGGATTACAGAAACAACTTTGAGAAATGTTCATCCAAATCCACATTTTGAACACTGAAACATGAACGTTAAAAAATAATTTTAAGTTTTACAGCCCAGTGTACCTTATGTTTTGATTAAATACAAAATATGAAACAATGCATGAGTTTAAAACTATCCATGTATACCACATCATATTATAACAATCATCTATTTGTGGAACATCTACAAACACCTGGGCTCTTTGTCGCTTTGTTTTGCATAAAAATACAGTTGGACAAATATTTGAATTATATAGTGCAAAACCCTGTGGAAGACATTTAGATTTTTCCAGATTGCTTCCAGAACTGAAAAAGACCTTATGTCCTTTTTGAGATGGTTTGGTTGCTACATACCTCTTTAAATTTAGGACCTGAACATAGCAATGTACTATGAAATAATTACAGTTATTTTACAGCAAACACTTGTTGACCTCGCAATGTGGATAACCACTTCCCCTGGAAAACCCCACCTGCACACCCCCTCACTTTATCCAGCAAACGTGAACTTTAGCCTAAGAACACAGCAGGTATTTGGATGTGAATGCAAACAGTTTTACAAAAGAAATTTGCTGCGCAAGGCTTATGTGACCCTTACATGACCCTGAGCCATCCAAACTGTTAGCAGTTATTTCTCTCTTGCTTCGTAGTTTGTTAGTTTATCTTTAGTTTGTACCGTATTACAGGTTTCATTTTCAGATAATATCTATTTTGTACTGTGTCAAGTTGCCCAGATATGTTGTGCTCATTTCGCTGTTTATTATTTAGTTTCATTAGTTTACTTTTTCAGTATACAGTCTCCCATTTTCACTCTCAAATAATGAAACACCCAATGTGTTTTTACTAAAAATAAGGTTCAACAATGTGATGATCAACAATTGCAGTAAGATCCAGATGAGTGAACAGTCAGTGCCAGTGTCCTTCCTTCATCAGCGCCTCGTGTCCTGTGCTCCACATCAGTGTTGGCCATGTTTAAGCCAAGGCTGTGGTCCTGCTGGCGTCTTTACTGGGGGCAGACATGAACACACAAGAGGAGAGAGGAGAAAGATGGGGGGAAATTCACAAATTAAGAATGTACACATTAAAAATATAATTTCCACAAAATTTGAATATCATAATGTATGAATGTAACAAAGTAAAAGTAGTAAAGTACTGTACTTAAATAAACATTTTAGGTATCTGTACTTTTTCCTTCACAACATTTTAAATAGGGCTGAAAAGTTAAAGTATTTTTATTATTGTTTGAGAGCTGCTGAAAGGTCTGGGGAGCTTATTTTTTAACACATTCATAGTTTGAGCAAACACAAACATACAAATAAAAACAACTGGGGAAAAAACATGGATTCAGTTGTTTCTGGTGAACAAAAAACTCTACTCCTGGAGCTTTATTAGATTTCAAAATCAGTGCAAAATTCTTTTGCTTTTTACTCTTTAAGAGCATTTTTAAAAGGGTACTTCAATACTTTTACTTAAATAGATTTTCCATGAGATATTTTTACTTTTGCTTGAGTATTTTTTTTGCTCTGGTATCTGTACTTTTACTTAAGTAACAAAACTGAGTACTTCTTCCACCACTGCACAATGCACATTTTGAATGAATAAACCAACTTTGATTCTTTCAGGAAGGTACGCTCAAGTGTCAAGCAAGATCATACATATACATTTTTTTTATCAGGCTATACTAATTTCCATGTTGTTTTTGTGTAATTGTATAATCAATGTCACAATAATCTTAAATTAACTACTGTAAATTACTAATGAGAAAGACCTTTTTCATGGCTGCTTTTCTTTATTCTCCTTCTTGAGCTAATATTGCACTACCAAAAGAAGCCACTAGAGGGGAGCAGTGACCTTCAGTGATACAGGCCTAGTGTTTATGCCCTTGCTATGCTGATGTTGATATTTTGGTCAAGGTAGCTGGCACACAGGCAGACAGACAGATAAAGTGGCAGACTGAAGGGTGTCTAACACAGATAAACACTTTCACATAGACTGGTTCATTAGGTCATCGGTGCGGGCCAGCAGCATGACAAGACTTTTAAGTATACCCCCTGACCAAGCGCAGTGCGTGAGGTGCAGAGGAAGCTGTGAAAAATACTTGTGGCCAAACGTTTACACTTAAATGATAGCTGAGAGGTGCAGGGGGCAAAGGGGGGAGGAGGTGAGAAAGTGGTCAGCGAGGTGACGCATGGTCGACGTAGATAGTAAATTAAACTTTGCTGAGCAGATTTGGTATGTGGCTCGTGTCATCTCAGGCATACAACACTGTAATAGTAACATACACACTGGGGTCACATGCACACACACATACAGTATGTCATAGCACTGTTTTGACACAGCCAGCCTGACTCCACTTCTGTATGTCTGCCTCCCATGTGCTCAGTCAGTCCACCAAAACAGCTGATGTCAAATATTCATGCGCTGCTTCTGTTACTGCTGTCAGACCGTTTTCTGTCCATGTTTAAACCACTTTATTAAATCATTCACTTTTCATTTTAGATTAATATTTGACATACCACATTTAACCAACATCAATAAAATAATGCAAGTTTTCATGGTTCAAAGCTGTTTTTACTGTCAATGTTGACTTGCAAATATAGTAAATTTGCCAGTTTATAGCACCAATTATAGGCCTTTGTCATAATTGCAGTTAGGTTACATTATATTAAATGTTCCCAACACTAACCTGAAGTAGGCTAATGGGTAACAGCTATGTTTTTGTGAGTTGGTTTTGTTTTTTTTCTTCATTGGTATAATTAATACTGGCAACTTAAGAACAATCTGGTTTTCCAATTACATTTCTTTTGGTTAATGATTCAAGGTCTCTACATTTAATTTTAGTTTGAGTTTTGTAATCCTTATTTAGTTGAGTAAATTTTGTTTATATGCAAAAAATGCAAAAAACATTTAACTTTTTGTCCTTTCATATTTACTCCTTTCATATTTACTCCGTGTCCCTCCCAGCACATTTGAAAAGAAAATGCAAACGAGTGAAACAATATCTCCATACCGCATGATATTCTTACAGCAAATTACAAGCATTTTTAAGCAGTTTGAAATTAAACGTTTCAAAACAATGCACTCAGATTTCGTACCCCAAATGCGCTGAGTAATCTCGGCCACACATACATTTATTTTTGTAAGGGGGTAAATTTGAAGCTACAAATCCAAACTGTGAGTGGCCTGTTGTTATTTCTTGCCCCTATGTTTGTCTTTGTGGAAGGGAGTGGTCCTTACTAATCAGAAGAGCTCTCTGTATTGATCCTTGAAGATGGAGGCCTGCTGGGCCACTATAGGCTGCCTAACCACAACTCAATAGTGGAGAAGTGTGTGCGTGCAAGTGACAGTCTGGGGCAAGATCTGCTGCATCCGCGAGTGTGCTGTATTCAAAAGTGCCCATCCTTATGTGTTTATGTGTGTGTGTATATGTGTCTATGTGTGTGTGTGTGTGTGTGTGTGTGTGTGTGTGTGTGTGTGTCTGTGCGTTCGTGTGTGAGCCAAAGCAGGGGGTCTGATAGCAATCAATACTAATGATATATTAATGCTTTCAGTGCCAGGTCATCATTCACATCCAAATCTGCTTCGGCTCTGAGCGCTGGAGTGTGTGTGCTCTTTTCCTCTCTGTATCGCTTCTCCATCTATCACAATGACAGCTCACTTCTGACCTTGGACAACTAGAACAGCAGACCTTTTGGACAAAAATGTTGAGCAGAAAAAGCTTTGAATCTACATGTATTACACTCACCGGCCCTCAGTCCAGCTGCTCACAAAATCATATGAAATCAAATCTATTCAAACATATATTGTCACACATCTGAGACCACTATGTAAAAAGAAATTTCGAAGAGTTGCAGTGGATGGTTCAAAAAGACATAATGAGCCACATGCACAAGAAAAATCTAAATCAATACGCTCATTATAGCCAGGCTAGTCTATAGAACACAAATAAAATGTCTTATGTGCAGCATTAAAGGGCCTATATTACACTATTTTAAATTTTCCTCATCAAAAACACACGCTGAGTTGTGTTTTGCTTCATTCACACATGTTTAACATCTGAAAACACTATGTGATGTCATCTGGTAAAACAGGAAGTGCTCCACTATGTTTTTAAACTCCATACACCTTCATTAGAGTCATTTGGATGATTTCAACTCTAGAATTGGCAGTCTCTACTGTTAACTTGAAAACTACAGCTTCATGACAAGGTGGAACAGAGCATTTGATCTACGGAGATGTAGACAGCTGGATAATGTGAAATTACTCAAACAAAACACAACTCATGGTAAGATTTTGAGGAGGAAATATTATAACATGACTAAAAGTGCACAAGAATCCATTTTGTGTGATGTAGGACCTTTAAAGCCTGTAAAAGAAGCACAATCAATTATGAGCTAAATATACCCTTAACAAAGTGGGCATTGTGCATTTAGTAATATTCAGTAAAACACTTTTAGTTCCACTGTTAAATGAGCTCTTCTGATATCATACACGTGTTTCCCGTTTCCCATGACCTGCCTCACAGCAATTTGTGTATCTCCCCAATTATCTTATTGCTTGGGTCATTTAGAAAACCAGTGTCTGCCAATTGCATACAACGTTAGTACGAGATAAGAGACGGAGGCAAAAGCCAAAGAGGAGGAGAGCAAAACCACAAAAAATGCACAGACACAATCTAAGCAGCTATTCAGTAATCATCCGTCACACCCAAACGCTCTGTGCCGAAGCCATCAGTGAACGCAATGAGTGAGAGCATACTTACTTTAGCATTGCTTTATATTGATGTAATAAAAAGACGGCAGCTTTAATTAGCAAAGACAAGTTTGCAAGCCCAAAGGGAATATTTAAAGTATGACGATTACGTTGGTATGTTGATTTCTATCCAAAAACAATCATAGAATTAAAATGTTCTAGTTGTCGGTACTTACTCAGGGGAAATTTGAGAATATTTTCTTCTACCTCGCAACCATTTATAGATTTCTATAACTCCATAAATGTGTAATGCCTGAGCTGAAAATATATTATTAGATCAATCCTGTTGCTGTTCACGGTCCTTTTTATTTTGTTTTGTTTTATTTCATTTTATTTATTATATAATCTATGCTATATTGTATAACTTATATACATGCTTAATTTATGGAAAAACTCAACAAAGAGAATACAAAACAAAACAGTTTAGTTCTCAAAGTAAATAAAGAGAATTAATGGTTTCAAAGACAAATTTGGAAAATAGCTATAAATAGTGTTGTCACTATCTCACAATGGAAGAGACATCATGCCCTGACTTGACCCAGTTTATAGTTTATACCCCGTGATTTACCTAACATTTGACTATTCATCTACGGAAATTATTACTAGTTACTAGTAAATACGCAAAGAAAATACAGAAAGAAAATATCAATTTGAAATATAACATTCAAATCTCTTCTACACTATTTAAAGGCATTTTCTAAGGCAGTATAGTTTTATTGATTCAGAGAAGATACACAAGGATGCCTTTTTGTCTTTACCCCTGGGGGGAAGTAACTTGAGATGGGACGGATGAAAGACGACCTTCACTGAAAGTCCCCTTTTCTCCTCAGATGTGCTTTCTTCTTTATCTGCAGTGCTACAGGGCAACACTTTTAAATAATATGGGAGCTTGTGCGTTAAAGGGCCTATGTTAAGCTATTTTCTGATCTATGTTATAATGTTGTTGAGCTCCACTGTGTTTTTAAACCCTATACACCTTCACTAGAATCATTTGGATAATTTCAGCCCTGAAATCGCCCAGCTCCCCTAAACTTTTTGAGCATTTAAATTTAACCCTCATAGAGCACCTGTACTGCTATTTTTAACTTTTTTATGACCCAGTGAAGCGCTCTACCACTTCTTCATCTGAGAGCATTTTGAGATTAGGAGATGTAGACAGACCAATAATTCAGGATTACCCAAACACAACTCCTCACAAGGATGTTTTTGAGGAGGTAACAGCGTTCTAACATTTGTTTACTTTTGCATATATAGAACCTTTAAGTGGTGTCAGGCTTCCTTTTCTAAAATAATAATTACTTCTGTCAAAATTTCAAATATTGGAGGATAATGTCTGCAAGATGTCATAAATGTCATGCATAAAAAGACAAGATAAACAGGTAAGTGCACATATGTGGTTTAGTGCATGTCAGTGAGAGGAGAGTGAGTGGTGGAGGACACTAACCCTGTTCTGATTTGCCGGATCTGTCTGTGTGTCATCAGTCCCAGATTTTAGAAACCACAGGGTCCTAAAAAATAAACAATTTGTGTTTTATTGGTGGAGCATTGACATTGAAGAATGCCATGGGTTTTCCTCAAGCCTCAATGGGGAAGAGAGTTAGTATTAGTATTTAGAAATGAACATTACTTCCATATATATTGCAAGTTGTATGTATGAGTAAATGTAAAAATATGGGTACTATATTCTATACTGTATATACTAAATCCTTTCCCCTCTTAGGCTTTTGGGACACTTGACATTGATCAGCTTTGATATTATTACTCATATACTATCATAATTATTGACTGATCATGCACTAAACTTGTCAAACACAGAGCAATTTAGCAAAGGGAAAAAGCATGCACAAATGACATAAGCGCTAAGCAGAGAAGACTGTCTGGAAATTGGACAATATTTTATCTAAAACCCATTACATCAGCTATTCTAATTTAGAGTAATCAGCACATAATATGTCACCAAAAGCAAGAAATACACAAACATTTCCAGTCTTGATATGTTATCTGAAAGCATTAAGTATCATTTGATTGATTATTAACTATTATTAAGTACACACAGTATGTTAATTCTATTGGTTAAAAATGTGTACAGAACTCATTGGATTAAATAATAAAAAATATTGCTCCCACCTCCAGATCTTCCCTGTGCGATCGATCTCTGTCTTCAAAGTCTCTGGTTCTGCGCCGGGCCTCTTCAAACGCCGCCTGGGCCAAAGCGTCTTCATGCTGAACACAAACACACAGATCTCATCAGTGCTTTTGGTTTGATTATTTCTGTAAACATTATCATCACGAACTTTACCTGTGCCCTCTCGTCATCGTATTCCAGGTACCCCATACCGTCGAGCCGCTGTAGGTCTATCCAGCCTCTCCAGATTACACACACGCCGTTCAAAATCATAGGAGCCTTTAAATACACCTGAGACAAACAAGAAGGTCAACATCAGAGCCACTCTAATTGATTTTTTTCTAATTGATTTGACAGAATGACTATAGCCAGTTCAGTTCCACTATATATTATCAACAGCAATTAAAGCACAAAACTGCAAAACAAGGTTAACACTTGTATAATACAATTTGTTGGATGATTTAAAATGTGAAATTTTCAAAGGAGCAAGTTCAGGAAAACAAAAAGTGCAAAGTCTTAAGGCCAAGCAAGACACAAAATTTAGGCTAATAGATCAAATTATACTTTTATTTTACGTGCAACACAACGAAACACTGAATTCAATATTAAACTACAATCGTTTCATTTACAAATACAAAACAACCAACGTAATCCTCACACATTCACTTTATATCAATATTGCATAACACTTCATGACAGACGAAGCCTTTAATCTTGTGATACTGCAGAGTTTAGCCTTGGGACCAAACATCTCTCATGACCTGGAGTTTGTAATAAAATAATAATTGTGATATCAGTTTTTTGAGATAAAGAATGGACTTCTGTGTTCTTTCCTTTATACATGGTAACTGCAAATGAGCAAAAACCGCGAACTACGTCAAAAGCAGCTCCAGATCTCGGTATGTGTGTAAAGTGCATTAGAGGAAGTGTAACTGTTTTTCTCTTCCTGATTTCATGTTAGCATAGAAGATAATTTAATGTCCATAGCCTTAAGTCTGCGCACTCAATGGCCCCATTCACACGAGAGCAGCTAAAATACAACTTTGTGGTCTTGTATTTTTAGGGTTACGCTCAGTGCTCACAGCTGCTGTTTACTTATTTATTTGATGAAAGAAAAATAGGAGCAGAGAAATGTCAGTAGCTCTAAATAACAAGAATAAAGGTCTAGGATGCTTCGTTTTTACTCGGAGAAAAGCAAAATATAATAGAAAAAGTTGTTAAAGATAAAAATGTAGTCGTGGAAAACAAGATTGTTGCTTTTGTGCTTTAGGTAAAAAGCGGAAGTATGTAAAGGTTTAAACAACTGAAAATAGAAAGAAAACCGAATGACTCAGTGACTCAGATGATGAAGTTATGAAACTATAGTGGTACCCAAACAACAAAGAGAGGGAGCATTCATATATTTAAATGTGTTTTAACAAGATATCCTGTTGATGGATTGGTATTGACTATAACAAATACAAGTTAAAAAATTATAATAAACATGGCAATACATAACACACCGACAAGCCAAAACCTCGCTATTCAAAAGCAGACACATACCACAAGTTATCTATCAATATTTGTATTGTTCAGTCTTGGATAAGTAGAAATGAATGTGGGGCTTTAGCCACAAGTGACAATGAAGTGTATTTCTGAAAGTTGCTGAAAGACTTACCATACAGAAGAGAAAGTAACAGATTTTCTATGACATTTTTTCTGGTCATGTATGGATAAGCAACTCAGACAAACTTTATCGATCCACAGTAGCTCACACATCACAATACATTATAATAACAAAGAGCGACAATATAAATGGTAATAATAAATTCAAAATAAGTAGCCAAATAAGGCATAATTATATAAATGTATGTGTAAAAGTAAAAAAAAGAACTATAGTAATACAAAAACTTACAACATTTTTAAGATATAAATAACAAACATGTTGATGCTCTAATAACACAATATTCAAGTCTATTCTTTAGATTCTTTCTCTTCCCCAATCAAGCAATGGCCTTTTCACTTGCTGTTTTCTAATTTCTAAACCATCAAATGTATAGCACTTTTTCATTTTACTTAGGGATGCACTGATCTGATAGAGAAAAATTTGCTGGATCAGATATCGCTGCAGTCAATATCCTGGCTGGACATATGCATTCATGTAATGCGAGTGTTTACTTGTCATAGTCGGCCCAGAAAGTCTCATAATGTTTGAACGGCATTTACACAAAGCTGTTCTGTATTTACTTGAGAGATAAATAACAGCTACTGAACACATTTGGATCCGTTTTGTTTTATTTTATTTTAGTTTAAAGGAAATAAATGCTGTTTTCAGTCAATGGTATCTGTTTACATTGGGTATTAGCAGATTCTTAAAACTGTAGTATTGGAACTAGTACTGTACATGCCTTATTTTACAAGTTTTTCCCTTTACATAACTATTTTCAATAAGGATAGAGACTTCATACATTCAAGCTGTGAAACACAGACATGTTGTCTCAGGGCAGACAGTTTAAAGTTATATTTATATCCTGGTAAGCAAGTATTTGTGAATAAATTAACAAACATATCTCAGAACGAAGGCATACTAGGCGCACTCCATGTTCCAGCATTTTTACTCGGGCTATTTTTGGGCAAGCCTCTCACAGGGACGTCTTTTACCACAGCTACCCACAATGCAACGGGGTTTCAGGGGAGACCGCACCCCAAGAGACTGTGGCTTTCACTGTTTATTCCACTCACTATATATGCCTCTGAGTGTGTGTGTGTGTGTGTGTGAGAGAGAGGAGAAATAAAGATGGCTTCCACATCTGCAGGCCTGTATGGGGAGTTGAGCAGGGCCTTGTGTGTGTCTGTGTGAGCTGGAGGAAAATATGTAGAAACGGCCCGACCACAGACTTCCTTTGAGAGCGCAGCACGTCAACCCCCACATCCATTCACATACGCACCAGTACTCAAATAAGAAGAGGAAACTGGGTTAAACGCACTGAAGATTTCAAATTGAGTGTGGCTCTCTGCTGTTGCCTTATTTGCATTTGTCTGCATGTGCTTTACATGATCCCGGTTTTGTGGAAGAACAAACACACGTGTGAAGAGATCGATATATTTTGAACAAGATACATTTAAATATGATTAGGGTTTTACTGCAAGACTCAAGCAATTTCAACAATATATGAATGCATGAATTAATAATACTAACATCTTAACATACAGCGCTTTTTGTAATCTGTATTTCAAACTACTTACTCATTATTTTTTGCCTTCCAAAAGACATATATTTCCTCATTAAAGGTGTACTATGTAATTTTTTGGTTAAAAGGTCTATCACCTGCTTGTTTGCATGTCATTGCTCTGCCAAAAATAATCCACAATATGATATTAAACAGCTTTTACATTTATTAAATTAGAGGAGAGTTTTATAGCTCAAAATACCTTGAGCATTCTGACTGTGAGTGGGGTTGCCTCTCCACAGATCTGACCTGTAACTTGGTCTGGTTTGGTTTCCATGAAGTTAGAAAAGTTACCCTACTGTTAAGTAGGGATGTAACAATAACCGAAATATCGTGATATCGTATCATCAAAGTTTGTGAACCATCACAATATATCGAATTAGAAGTCTCTTTTCTTAAATTAAGAGTTATGGTGGAGCTATAGCTAAAAAAAAGACAGAGAGAACTACATAGACCATGATCCTTTGCTCCATTTCAGTGAAGACTACATGAAGAAATAACAGTTTTAAGCGCTTTTAAGTCTTAGTTCTTTGGATTAAGTCTTGTCAAGGCATTTTAAGAGGAAAAAGTAGCATATTAACAGTTTTGTTCGCAGTCTCCACAAAATATCGTAAAAAATATCATGCCATGAGTTTCATAAGGTCATCATATTGTATTGTAAGACTTGGATATTTACACCCCTATTGTTAAGTATTCCAGACAAAGCAAAAACAGCTCCATGGAGAAAAGCATTTGACGGACCCTCCACTAGAAAAGTTACGCAATACACCTTTAAGGCAATTATAAAGAAGAATATTTTTACAATTTCAAAGGGTTAGAAGAGACATGTTTTTATTGCTTGTCAAACCGTGAGCCTGTACTTTGCATGGTCATTCCGTATAGGGCTGAGTCTGCTCCAAAGTTAGAACTCTGCTCCAAACCACATGCTTTTACTGAGGATTAGCTGTGGACCACTCGATAAAAAACAAAACAAAACTCAAGCATATCATTGACATTTGGAGATGACTGAATCTCTGATGAATTACACAGCTCTTCTTCTTCCTTTTGAGTGTGTGATTTTTTCTGCTTGACTGGAGCCTCAAAGCTTTCCTACTTCTAAGGTCGGAACATTTGTTGATGTTTAGTCTATGAGTGGCGCATGGGGGCTCTTCAGGCTGTCACTCACCCCATTCAGACAACTGTTACTGTCTACAAACCTTTTAGTCTTCTCAGATGGCTCTATCAAAATCATTTCAAAGTAAAACATGGATTTAAACTTCTGCGTATGCTGTAACATTTAATGTGACCTTTTCTTTAGTTACACTGACCTATTTAGGCTCAGATATTAACTAGGAGGATCTGAGGGTTGGTCTCTTGATGCTGAATAACTATTTTATTTAAAGAGCCCATAGTACACTTTTTCTGATCTATGTTATAATGTTGTTACCTCATTAAGAATATACTCTGTGTAGTGTTTGTTTTATTCACGCATGTTTAACACACAAACCCTGCATATTTAGTTTTTTCAGAATACACTCTGTTCCACCTATAGATGACACATGGTAATACAGGAAGAGCTCCACTGTGTTTTTAAACTCCATACACCTTCATAAGAATCATATGAATAATTTCAGCTCTGGAATTGCCAGTCTCTACCGAACTAAAGGTAAAAGATAGATGTTAACTTGAAAACTACCACTACATAACATGACATTTTGGGTTTTTGGAGATGTAAACAGACTAATAAACCAGGAAGCCATTCAAACGGGAAACCACTCACTTTACCACTCAAACGTGTAAATTAGGGATGTAACAATAACTGAAATATTGTGTTATTGTATCATCAAAGTTCTCACAATAATATTGTAGACTATCACAATATATCGAAATACAAGTCTCTTTGCTTAAATTAAGAGTTATGGTGCAGCAATAGCTTAAAAAAAAGACAGAGGAACTACATAGACCATGATCCTTTGCTCCATTTCAGTGTAGACTACATCAAGAAATAACAGTTCTAAGTACTTTGAAGTCTTAGTTCTTTGGATTCAGTCTTGTCTAAGCATTTAAAGAGGAAAAAGTAGCATATTAAGAGTTTTGTTAGCC